GATATGTTTATTATTTAATGATAAAAATTTATTACTTAACTATCATATATTACGTTAATAATTAAATACGTCATCTATTTTTATATAAAAGGATAAATTTGGACTAAATTGATAAACCAATAAACCAAATCAAAATCTTTTTTTAATTTAAGAATCAAATTAGATATTCATGTAATAATTAAGGGATAAAATTAAAAATTTAATGTACCTTAAAACATCTGACATAATTATAAAAGGGTGCAGACATTCACCCAACCGGAGGAGAGGAGATGTTCTCCCAATCCCACTCCATTTTCCAATTTCCATTTTATCAAAGGTTGTAATATATAAATTAACTTTAAAAAGTACATTGAAATTGTTGCACTTTTGTTTACTAATTTGCAGCCTCCATTTGTATTTCATTTTCTTCCATAATGCGGCTGTTTGCTGCCCTTTTCTTTCTTCCATTAAAGCAGCTTTATTGCTACACATTTTGTGCCATAAACGCAGCTTCTTACTGCACCATTTTGCTGTCTAGTTGCGGCAAATATCACAGCTTTGATGCCATTTTTCCCTTTTTACTTCCTTGGTGGGCCTTATTTTTTCAACCGACAACTAACTGCCATGGCATATGAAGAGGAGAGAAGAGCATTCAGAGGATACAAAAGCACGGGCGTTAGGGGAAGGAAAGGAGGAGAAAGTAGAGGGATGATGAAAAAGGCATGAAAAGGGTTGATTTTTCCTCTTTCTCTGGTTGTTTCTTTGAGTCCGAGGGATTATGCTCTATTCCAATGGAGAGAAGGAACGATTTGAGATGATATCAGATGAGTGCGCAAGGAATCCATCGGGTTAGTAGAGGAGTGGGTCTGGGGGAAACTGGGATAAGTGTGCGAGGGAATCGAGCGAGTTAGGAGAGGAATAAGGACTTCAATAGCCTGTTTAGCAACTGATGTTATTGGCCTGTCCCGTGCTGCTGTTTGTTTGCATTTGTCTGCATTTTTTTGCTCTTTAGTTCTCTAATTTCTTCAGTACTTTTCTCATATTAGAGCTTCAATTTCAAGGGAAATACGAGATATTTGCAGCCAACTCTCCTATTGCTCTGTTGAAATCTGCACCCAAGTTTCGAGTTTTTGCTTCGAAGAAGTGGACGAAATCAACTGCGACAGCAGAGAAATTGGACAGGATGGATTTTGCCGGAGTTTCTAAGGAGACTCCAAAGCATGAGAAGCAAGGAAGTCTGAATCTGTACCGCAAATTCGAAAAGAAAAGGTGTGTGCATTTACAATATATATGGTTTTGGAGTTTGTAATGTGTCGAACTTGTCAGTTTAATATGTATGAGGCAACAAGTTTAAAATTTTTTTTGCTGGATATCTTCAAGTAGGTGTTGAACAAGATCAGATTGGCTCGACAGACGGACCGTTGCCGGAATGGGTTAGATCAGCTCAGGAAGGCTATATCAAGGATCCTAGATCAAGGTATAGTCTTTGTTATTATATGTATGGTTTTTGTAACCTCTAAGAAATATATGTATGGTTTTATGCATCATAAAAGATTCAAACTATATTCTGAATTAATTAGCAAGGGTACTCTATGGTTCAATTCATGATTTTATTTTCTGTAGTGTTTGATGAATCGAAACATGATGCTGCATCTTCCCACGCTATGCACTAGAGGGAGCAAAGGTAATCAATGTCATGGCCTGTAATATTTTACATCTTCAGCGCCAAATATTTGCATCCATTGATCTAAAAGGAACAATTGTCTTAGCCGAGAGATTGTTGAAAGGCATGTGCAAATTGAGACTCAAACTAAAGAGGCAAGTAATGACCTCATCCAAGCATCTGTGGAGGTCAGTAGATTGATAGATGAAGGTATACAACCTAGGTGTATACATCCCATTGAGATTTGGATTTATAATTATGTAGAACTAAATAGTGGACACCTATTAACTTATTACATGACATGTTCTGTTGGACAGTGAGAAAGAAGCCTAGAACAAGAAATCAATGAAGGAGGTAGGAGAGAAGATTCAAAGTATTGGCAGAAGTCAACTCCTGAAGAAAAAAATGAAAAAAAGAGTAAAATTTCAATTTCAAATGCTTTTAAAAGTAAATTTCAAAAAGAAATTTCAAAAAAAAGAAAAAAAAGAAAAAAAAAAGAGAAGCAATTTGTTCACTGATTGGCTCAATAATGAAAATGAAGAGTGAAATTAGTAAAGATGATCAGATTATTTCTTACTTGGTTATCTTCAGTGACAATCCATGTTGATTCATTTCATTAGTGTTGTTATTTATGGACATGATTTTTATTCTCTTTTTTAAGTTTTAATTTCAGTTTTAAAGTTATTTAGGTCGATGTTTCCTACCTTTTCTATTATTATCATTTCTAGAATTGGGATCCTCTATATTATTCCGTTCTTACTTATCACCATGATGATCAAGATAGACATTTCAGTAGTGTAAAACAAACAATTGGCATTTGAGTGTGTTGCAAGAACTTCAACCAGTGGTCTTCTCACTAATCCCAAAAAACAACTTTGTGGTGACCCCCTTATCAATGATGAATACTTAATCCCTATGTTGAAGCAGTTGGAATCCAGGTACTTTGACTACATCCCATCCATGAATAAGTTCGCTTTAAAGTTAGCAACATTGCTTCTTACTAAGATTTTATGAATTTCACTAATAGTTAAATTAGTTATGAATTCCATTTCTATTTGTATCAGATTGTTTCAGTTGCAAAGCCTACTTCACATAGACTTGAATCCAGGACAGAACTATGGTCAAGCTTCACAGAAAACAAGTTTGTTAATAAAAGAAATTCTTAGTGAGGGTAGCAGTACGTATTTTGGTTTGGTGCAATCATGTGAAAGTATGTCTGCTGTATTTGGTGGTTTTCATTGATAGAATTATTGGGGATGAGATTTGTTATTTTCTGGAGGAATGATTTCCCATTTCACTGGTGCCTTACATGATGTAAGTTTACCTTTATCAAATTTTATAAAGAAAATATATGAAATCCTTAGTAAGGCATAAGTTAAGTGCATTGCTTAAAAGAGTGTGATACTATGATGTTATGATACATTGAGGTTGATGACTCTGGATTGTGAAAAAGGCAACATGGTTAAAGAGAAGCATATAAATTAGGATTCTATCTGTGGCAAGAAAAGAGGTTGTAACCCAAGATCTGATGGACCAAAGCAAGATAGTAGTTGAGGCGAGAAAGATAGTTGGACATTAATGGCAGTGTCGTTGTCAATTAAGGTCGTGAAGCTGTATTTGCTGGTGACAGGACAGTATATAAGAGAGCCATTTTCAGGATCAGCTGTAAACTTCAATGCAGGATGCAAGACAGCAGTGTCAAATATTGTCATGGCAATGGCAGTCATGATCACTCTGCTGTTCTTAACACCATTGTTCCATTACACTCCTCTACTGGTTCTTTCCTCCATCATAATAGCTGCAATGCTTGGTCTCATTGACTATGAAGCTGCCATCCATCTCTGGAAAGTCAACAAATTTGATTTCCTTGTCTGTATGGGTGCCTATGTTGTGTTGTTTTTGGAAGTGTGGAGATTGGCTTGGTTATAGCGGTATGAGAATTTATCAAATCCATTTATCTGAATCAACAAAAAAGCATAGTTGTTTAAGCAGTAACAACAATTCATTATCTGTCTCGGATGCAGGTTGTGATTTCATTGCTCAGGGTGCTTCTGTTTGTTGCAAGGCCAAGGACTTTTGTGCTTATAAACATTCCAAATTCCATGATATACAGAAATGCTGATCAGTACCTTAATGCAAACGGTATTCCTGAAATTATCATGCTTGAAATTGATGTCCCAATTTACTTTGCCAATGCAAGCTACTTAAGAGAAAGGTACTAACAAAGTTCCCATTCCCCCATTACTGCATCAAAAAGGGTATATTACTCCATTTGACCAAATTTTATGCCTACTCTTATTAGGATCTCAAGGTGGATTGATGAAGAGGAAGACAAGCTGAAATCATCCGGAGAAACAAGCTTACAGTATATTATACTGGACATGGGTGGTATGTTGTTCTTTTCCTACTATATTGTTCCTGAAAATCTAGCAGACTACTTTCACTATCTGACATCCATTATATTTGTTGGTTCAAAGCCGTTGGTAACATTGACACAAGTGGGATAAGCATGCTTGAAGAGGTCAAGAAGACTACTGATGGAAGGGGCCTCAAGGTACCAAAATTATTCTACATAATGTTGTAATTAACCAGCTTATTCATTGCAGAGAAATTGCAATCTGAGTTTGAAAGTTCGTTTTGATTCTAATTTGATTTTTTTTCTCGTGTTTTTTAGCTTGTATTAGCCAACGCTGGAGCTGAAGTGATGAAGAAATTTAACAAGTCTAACTTCATTGAAAATTTAGGCCAAGAATGGATACATCTTACAGTGGGAGCAGCTGTGGCAGGATGCAATTTCCTGCTTCATACATAACCGTGCTAAGGATGAATCAGAGCTCTGGAACAATGTCGAACCTAAATATCAATATTTAATATTGATTTTAAAATTTTGAATTGTGTTTTAATTAAATAAAATGACGTAATTTAATGTTAGAATTCCAATATTTTTTTAGAAAACGGAACTGTAATGTACTTTTTTTTTATTATAATTATAAAAAATTAAAAAACTAATTTTAATACTATTAAATGTGCTTATAATTTTAACTTTTCAGTGCAAAATTTTTTCTTAAACATATTTTTAGATTTCTGCCTTTGTTTTGATTTCAAGTACTTGTAAAATTTTTTAAAACTAAAACAAAAATAAAAAATTACAACCATTAAACGAAAAATATATTGGTAGATCATGCAAATGTGTAAGGGAAATAACGAAATTGAAACAATTAACGCAAAGGTAATTAAATAGGTTAGATAAGAGTGAGTAAAGATAAGGAGAATGAAAATTTAAGACTAATAATGTGACTTATATCATGTTATTAAATTAATTAAAACATATAAA